GTGGTCATAATAATCTGGCCACTCAGTGTATATGCCCAGTGTTAATGAGAAAGATATTTGTTAAATACATTTTACCTGTTTTATTTGCTATGAATTTTTATAAATCTATACATATGTGGATTAAAAATATTAATAGGTTTTAGTGACAAAAATTTACTTTTCCCCACCCCACTTATCACACTAGCCTCCTTGAAAGTTGTTAAGGCAATGAAATATGCATTCACTTTTACTCCCCTTTTAAAACTATTGATTTGCCCTAGCCAAGAGACAAATAGGTATTTTCAAGTTGCGATTTTCCTCTTCCAGAGTTGAGTAAATGTATTTCAAGTTTAAGTTATAAGCACTTAGACTTCTATGATAATGGATCATTAGAGAATGATAATATCTCTAATAAAACTATAAAGGGAGTAGTTTATATTTTTGTTCAAAGTAAATAGTCCTCAGCTTACCTTCCTGGTGCAGTTCAACAGTTTTAATGTGCCCTGTGAAACTATTGATAAGTGGAGCTTGAATTCCTCATGGATATTCATTTTAAGAAATTGCTTCAACTTGCGAGCAGCAGTTTTTAAAAACGTAGCTTCCTATTACAGAAAAAAATCAGAAGGGCTGTGGTTCAAATAAAATATTATGAAATGAAAAGCTTTCTTAAGGATCCTAAAGCCAGAACCCTGTTGCTAAGCAATACCCCACCTCCACCCAGCTTTCTTTTCCAGTTAATCACATGACTGACAAGTAACTGGACTGAAACGGTGGCCTAGAAGCTGACAGCCTGAAGGGCCTGGAACTCAGTTTAATGATTAGCTTTTAAAATTCTCTTTCTCTGTAATGTATGTATGATCTTACCACTTGTGGGTGGACACATAACAAGTTTATTTAAGTTTAAGCAAGATAACCAAGGGAGAGGTCTTCTGGAAGCAACGATAATGAAAGGTATGTGTGGTTTTCTTATTGTTATTATGTTGTACATTTTGAGCTATGGATGAGTAGCTGGTAATAGGAAAATGAAGAGTCATATTCACCTAAAACAAATCACACTGTAATTATAGAAATTTTAAAAATAAGAACTTATGACTATAGACTATTAGATGCCATAAGGTTAACTCAGCTATTATTTTTTAAAACGACTGTTGAATACCACACTGGTTTTTGTGGAAAGAAATCACACAAGCATTTGTTGAAAGTTTTACACCAACTAGAAGTTGTAGTGGTGTGAAGATTAGCAAATATTAAAAGAAAACAATTTCTAAATGCCTACAACTAAATTATGCCCTAACAAGCGTTTTCCTTCATAAAGATTTCAGAAATAAGAGATGTGTGTCTCTTTGAATTCAACAGTTCTAGAATTTTATAAGTGAAAAATGAAATGCTAAAGTAAACATATTTATCAAATAACTGCAGGACTATTTGTAAAATAAGAGTATAAAAGAACACCACAGCACGACTTAATAGATCAATGGGAACTGCCTGCTTAGAGCCAAAAGAATAAGTTATTAATATAATCAATATAATTATCTAACAGATACAAAAGCATATAAGCTTCTATGTAATCAAGCTCGAATGACATACAAACTCCAAATAATTATCATTACCTTATCATCATCACATGAATGCTTTTTAAAAAAGTTAGGTTCATTATTCAGGCAATTGCTATCATTTTCTCTTATCCTGTCCTGTAATAAATAATATAAAATTAAATTATTAAACTGGGGAGTTTTCTAATATGGAGTAATTATAAAAATAACAATGTTATAATACTTGGTAGTTATATGTACATTTTCAGGGAAATACCTTTAGCTTGGCTTAGCTGACTAGGCATGGAAAATAGTTTCTATAGTTGAAGAATAAACAAGTATATACACAAAGCCCCACAGACACAGAGCTCCCTCCCGACACCACAGGTTAACCCCAGAAATCATTGAAAGAATCTGACTCATTTGGGAAAATAAAAGCACCTATTTTAGAAGTTATACTATAAACAGAAAATATTATAACTTTGAGATCTTAAAGTTGCAATGCATTTAAGAGGTTATTTGGCCCAATTTCCTGCCACTATCAAACAGTAAAAAAGGGAATTTTCATTAGAATGAAGGGAAAAACTCTTGAGAGTGAGAGTAAAGTAGAGTCATTCTGCAGCATTTTTAACAATCCAACTTGTCTGGGATGGTTGAGGTGGGCATTTGCTAAGAAACAATGGAATGGCATCTCTGTGTATTGTAACTAGCCTATATAATAAAACTCTAATATGCAAATCGACCAAA